CCAGGCGTGTCCTTGCAGGTGGTCCGGCCGGCGCAGAGGGAGGTGGCCCTGGAGGAGATGAGGGACGACGAGGAGTACGACTCGGAGACCCAGTACGGTGAGTGGTCTGCACGGGCAGTCACTGGGAGCAGGGCTTTCCCCTCTAGCCAGAAAGCACCGTGGGTTTGAGCCCCTGCCCGCTTAAACCCATGGTGGCAAATCAGAACATGTTGAATATCAGAGTACAAAGCTGCATTATTTCTCACTTTTTGTCCTGCTGAACGGACTACGAGCAAACCAAAAAAAAAAAAAGACTTCAATTGGTGTTGAATTTCCTAATTGTCTCAAGTTCAGTGCAGTAATGCTCAAGTACTCAGAATAAGTACCAATGCAGCAGAAGATCATGACAAAAGATTTTAAGTAGCTTTAAAGATTATTGCTGGGGATTCCTTAATCCCACACAGGAACGGGCTTGGTTCTGTTATTGACCTCAGTGAATTGACTCAGGAGGACAAAGTAGATACTCAAGATCTGAAGAATCTTGCATGATAAGAGGAGTGACTGGTCCTCCAGCGCCTTCTGTGCCGTCTTGTCTGCAACATTGGTCTCTCTTCTCCTCGTCCATCTATGTCTTGGTCCCAAGTGTTCCTCCAGCCTTGTGCCATGAACACTAGATTTGTTTCCATCCGTTGTTCACGTGCAATTCGGATTGGCTCATTTTCCAAGGGCCTGAATGCAACCTTGTGGCGTTCAAAACGTCTTGCAAGGAAGTATTTTTAAAGAAGCTCGCTCGATTCGTGAGCATCTGTAACCCGACCCATGCACGGCTCGGATTGAAGGCGAAAGGTCTCTCCAGCACGTTTCTGGCGCCAACCAGGCATGGCTGTGGCACCGACTCTGCCCTTGTCGTAGCGTGCTTCTCTGTCACCGGGTTTATTGCTATCCTCTGTTAACCCCTCCTCTCCCCTCAACGTCTTCCCCCCCCACAGGCTCTAGTTTTGTGGTCCCAGTGGCTGGATTCCTCTGCAGGCTGTGCCACAAGTTCTACCACTTCGAGTCCACCGCCAGGCTGTCCCACTGCAAGTCTCAGATGCACTTCCAGAACCTCCAGGTCAGGGGCTCGGGGCGATTGTGTCTCTGCAGCAGCTCGCGATCCGTACAAATCCATTCAAGACGCTTGTTTTAACAGATTTTCCTCTTATTGGGTGCATTGAGGGGAAAATGGGAAGTCCTGCCTCTTTTTTTATAAAGGATAATAATAATTGCTTACACTTATATATATATAAGTGCACCAGTACTCTCCCCACACACCAGCTATCAGTGGGGAGGAGAACAGAGTGATGAAGCCAATTTATAGACGGGGATTATTGGGAGGCCATGATTGGTAAGGGCCAATGGGAAATTTGGCCAGGACACCGGGGTAACACCCCTACTCTTTTCGAGAGACGCCCTGGAATTTTTAATGACCACAGAGAGTCAGGACCTTGGTTTTACAGTCTAGCGTCCCCATCACTATAATGGGGCACTAGGACCCACATGGACCGCAGGATAGCCCTCATTCTTGGAAATTATCAGGAACCAAATGATTTACAACCGGCAGAAGGAGATAGAAGCCGCACCAGCCTTGATCAGGGGTCGGCAGCCGGTAGATCTCTTCAGATGACAGACTCTAGAACCACATTCACGCACAGCTTCCACGAATAGAGTGTCACACTACTAAGCAGCGGCAAAGGAACGAGAGGAACGTAGAGCTGGTGCTGTCACGACTCGGTGCCACGAGCGCCGGTCTAGTGGAGAATTAAGCCTTAAATCGCCGGCTCATTAAGCTGCTTGATTATTAGACTGGCTGCCCGATTGAAAAATTAGAGGAACAAAAATGGCGCCGTCTGGGGCTGCGGGAGGAGCGAGCCGCTCCCAGCATAGCTGTGACGAAACCTGGGCCGTCGTCTGGGAGAAGAACTCAGACATCACCCAGAATTGAACACTGTGCAATTTGTAATATTGGTAATACCAGGCCCGCTTTCATGTGTTTTCCTGGCTTGGCAGCAGCAGGCCGTGCTCTGTCTTGTTGGATTCCTGAGCAATCCAAGGCATTGTTCTCTAGGCCCCATTTTATTTCATGCAAGGTTTGGTCTTTGCTGGCGAAGGATCTTGAAGAGCTTTACGTACATAACCTTTACATATTGTCCATCGCTGAAAGATTTTCTTAAATGAACAATGCTTAAGCAGCCTATGGAACCAAAGTCGTGCATAGATCTACTTCCCACGTCTTGTAGATGCTTAATGAGTCCAGTTGGAGATGACAAACTCTTCCTTCTCAGGGTATATTATAACTGCTGTTCGATCAACTTATTCCGTGGACTAATCTTTATCATGTAACTAAGCAAGTCGTTGAATGTTTTGTAACTTGACTATAGTAAAGGTCTGCTGCAGTTGGTTCTGAAGGGGCCTGCACTGCGAATTTACGGTCTCATTTCTCATCTATTCACAGAAATACAGAGCCCTAAAGAGCCAAGAAGAGACCGAAGAGTCTCTGTCAGAGGCAGGGGAGCCAGGCAGCAGCGGCATATTGGAGGACCATCAGGAACTGGGGCCAGCAGAGGGAACCACAGGGGTGGGACCTGAAATGACCAGCGTAGGTGGGAACAGCAAAAATGTCGACCTCGAACCCGCTCTCTCCCTCGGCCCGTCTTCTGACCAGGCCACCCCGGGAGGCCCCAAATCGGCCTCTGATATCCAGGATCCTGAGAAGGCCAGCTCGGATCTCCCCAACAGAAGCAAAACTGACTCTAGTGGAGCTGCTGTTGACAGTAGCTCCAATGGTTCGGCTCAGAGTAAGACCAAAGACTTTTCGCCAGACCCGACAAGATCCGCGAGCCCTCCCTGTGTTTTGCTAGAGGGCTCTGAAGACGGGACGTCAGACTCCGTGAGCTCCCACATGGACTGCGCGGCGGACGAGCCGGCCCAGCCCGCTGACGACCCGGGGAACCGTAGTTCCTTGTCGGAGAAGGACGGCTCCCCAGATCGGCCCCCAGCCGAGGAGCCTGGGGAAGAGGAGCCGGAGAGGGATGGTCCGCAGGTGCTGTCTGGGCAGGCAGAGAAGAGGAGCCCTAACGCTGAAGGCAAAGAGGAAGAGGCAGCCAGGGAAGGCGAGGAAGAAGAGGACGAGGAGGCAGGGGCGGGTGACAGGTTGACGGCAGGGCGCTCCCGGGCAACAGCTCCGAGGAGAAGATCCACAAGGACGACCCGGAGGCGCTGAAATACCGTCGGCTGGCTGGAGAAAGAGGGTTCCCCTCCTTTTCTACCGAAAGATTTTGAGCGAGCATCTGGGAGTTGCCGTGTTAAAGAGCACGGAAGACGTGTGCCCTGAAGTGGTTTGATCAGCGAGACTGAATGACGTTTTGCTTCCGATCCTGAAGACAATTCAGGGTCTTGACGTAGTGGAACGGATGCCCAGCTTTGTAATGAAGGTATAATTAAACAGGGGGCAGGTTAGGTTTGGGTGGGTGTGTGTAGCTTAGTTTGATCCGCAATGTGACAAAAAAAACAATGAAATTAGGAGACACTGGAGTTGATTTCAGGAAGGAAGTAATCGCGTATTGGTTCTGTACATAAAAACCTGTTCAACTGGAGAGATGATTCATTAGGCAGCCAGACAGACTTTCCACAGCATTAGGGCAGGTCTGTCAAACTCTACTACTGGACAGCTTGGATAGACAGGTGGGAGCTTCATTGTTTCCAATCAAATGATTTGATAGATTGAACAAATGTGTTCTTCTTAGGTTAGAAGCCAGCAGCGTTGATAGTGACACACTCACTGGTGTTGACGTAAGCATATTCAAATGCTTACAGACCGGCAGCTGCACAGCACCAAACAAGTGCCCATCTTTTCCAGTCACATCTTTTACTTCAGCTAAAGAACATGAACTGAGGGGCAGTGAAACCCTGTGGCACTCAGATCTCCTACTTTTCCACTTTAGCATCAGACGCATTTGCAGAATAAGTCACTTTTTTTTTTTTACTTCCCCAGAGGGAAGCTACAGGGCATTCAATAACCTCTCCTAATGCCTCTTAACAAACAAGGAATGACTGTGTGTCCACATTGGACACATTGGGGTTCCATGTGAAAATACTGTGACAGTCGTGTGCGGATTAGGGTTGTCGAACTCCGAAGAGCAAGGATAAATCTGAAAAAAACCTACTGTATTCCTTTAAAACTGTGAGTGTACAGTTTACAGTTTTTATCCTCCTATAAGAGGATAGTGAATTTAACTTCTGCTAGAAAGTGCTCATTTTGTTAGTGCAATGCTTAGAGGGCTCCATCAATCTGTCAAAACCCATTTGGTCTGTTATACCTTTCTGAAGTACCGATTGCAAGCTCTGGTGCAACGCCTTTCTAACAAGGTGCCGAGTGGGAGAACTCTCATGCCATCCACAGACAAGCCAATTCACTAGTCTGCCACCTGTCGGAATACAGCAGAGGTGCAGGGTGATGGTACAGAACAGTGTATCTGGAAGACAAAACAATGCTGTGCATTTTTAGAATGTATTTTTTTTGCAAATAACTGAAACAAGTGTGGTTTTTTTTAGAAGCTTCGTTTGTAATGTCTGCAGTTTGTTTTGGTTGTATTTTAAGTCTTCTAATTTATAAAAGTTTGACAATTTGCCTCTGGGTCCAGCTTCTTTCATTATGCTAAGAGACGAGATGTTTCGCTACAAACGAGAAGCTAGTACGACGCTGAACGATCCATTACTGCCTAATGGAGTGGGGGTACATGAAGACCTCGGTGTTAGGTGCATCTTCCAGCAACAGTTTTAATTAGCTTTCATCAACCCCAACACGTCCTGTTTTCACAATGATAGTCATTCAGAAGGCATGAACTACTCAATGATCCGGTTAGAAAAACATCGCTGCTGTTTATACTGTGTCGGTGCACCTTGTGCAAGTGCACAGCCTGCTGGTCGGAGCAGGTCAATATTTATCGTCGCATTTAAAAAAAAAAAAAATCAACACTTGGGTAGGAGATGGACTTTGAATTCCCTTATTCGGCTTCTCTGGCCCTCCCGACAAGGGTGCTGTCGGTATTAAGGTTCCTTTCTCATCTAATAATCTCGCAAACTCGTTTTCTTCGAGCGTCAGCCTAACATTTGTTAAGACTGGACGCTTTCTACTATACCGTTTACCACGTTTACACCTAAAAGCACACAGACTACCAGGCCTCCGGACTGCACGGTTTTATCATCCCCTCTCCCCAATCACAACCTGCCGCAGCCGCAGGCTGCACGAGGAATCCCACTTCACACATTCTCGCGTGTTTTTTGTGCCGTCATTTTAAACACTGCCGCTCTCTGCACGCTGTAGTGCCCTCATGTGGTGTCTTGTGGGGTTACACAGGCCACTCAACGCATCGGGGGCGTAGAATTAAAAACCGGGGAAAGTCATGATACAGTTCAGCTGCGAAGCGGTCTGACTTCATTTGGATTATCGTGTTCGGTTTGATCCGTGGATTTCTCCAGGAGGATCTGTCTAAATCATCATTCTCATTTCCTGAGCTCCCCACTGAGCAACACTCCTACCACCAAAAGGCTCTACTCGAAGTATTTTGCCTTAGCCAGGCAATCAGACACCTCCTTTCATTTCCTATTTTGACTACTTGTTGTAGTCTTTTTTTCCTGCTAACTGTACATTTGATTGTACATATATTTATGTAGAGTGCCTCGAGACTGCTCTGGATTGAAAAGCGCTATGTACTGTAAGAAAGGAAAAAAAACTGAACATCCGCAAACATCAGCTGGTAAACAGCGGCACTGAAATGAGTGAAACTGGTTTGCCTGTCTTGAGGGCCAAACAAGCTCTGTTGTTTGATGATACTGAAATGATACGAGCAGATTTGAGTGTTTTGACAGGGAAACAGAATCCTTCAGCTGTAACTCAAGAGACACGACACAAGCCAAGCTCCCAAAATGCAAAACACTATGCAGTGTGTGTACGTGTCAGTTGAGGGCTGAGAGTAAGATCTTAAGGAAACCCTGTTGAGTTCTTCACATGCTTTCCTTTGCAATTCATTATAAACACAGGGTGTTTGCTTTTTAGGGTGGTGCAGTGGTTGACATTGATGCCTTGCAGTGCTGGAGCCCTGGGTTCAATTCCAGACCTGGGGTGCTGTCTGTGTGGAGTTTGTATGTTCCCCCCAGGTCGATGTGGGTTTCTTCCAGGTGCTCTAGTTTGGTCTCACAGTCCAAAGACATTCTGGTAGGCTTCTGTGAACACTGGCCATGGTGTGAGTGTGTGTTTGTGTCTGTCTGTTCTGCGATGGACTGGCGTCCTCTCCAGGGTGTACCCTGCCTCGTGCCACCTGCTTGCTGGGATAGATTGCAGCTCCGAAGAGGATGAAGCAGTTAGAAAACGGATGGAAGCGATATTATCACACCAATAGTTTTGGCCGAAGAGAATACCACTGCTGCCGATGGGATTTTAAAATCTTTATTGGCAAATCTTTCATATCTCCTTTAAAGTCAAACACAGCAACATGCATCAAACGTCTTTTGTACCTTCGTCCTGAATATTTACAATCCGTGGTTACTACAGAATGCAAGTAATTTCAGCAGGTAATAGATACTTGATTGATCCTGTGTGGGAAATTGCAGGATTAATGAAAGTGAAGCAAATTCTGCACTCCACTTGAATTATAAAAAAGTCTCGAGTATTGATGACCCAAAATATATATTGGTTTAATTGCTATACACTCCAATATTATAGTTCAACTGCACGTTATGTTTTATTTACACACTCAAACTACCAGGAAACAGTAACAGGTAACAATGCAGGGTCCCAAAATAAATTAATCATTAATCCGCTGCTCTGAAATACATTTCATTAATACAATAAATGGATAAGTCGAACAAATGTGAAAGTTGCAAGCTAATAATTTATTGAGAAAATACAGGAGATGCAACACGGCAGACGCATAGATTCAAAACCTTTAGCAGACAGGAAAGGCTCAAAACCGAAAATGAGAATTTGGCTCAGAATGCTCAGCTTGGAATTAGCAGGAACTAAATTGGTCTCGACAAAATAGTTACGCCACAAGATGACGGTGTGCAGGAGCAGCCATCTACACGCCCGACAGAACACAGAACACAGAGCTCCTCATTTGCAGACTTCCACACCATAAGATAAGATCACTTTATTGGCCATATGCAATTTCTTGTATTAGGAATTTATGTTTTCACAGACCCCAGCTTGCTCTCCATGAGACACACAGACAGGGAGAGAAGCTTGGGGTCAGAGCGCAGGGTCAGCCATTGTACGGCGCCCCTGGAGCAGTGTATTGGGGTTAAGGGCCTTGCTCAGGGGCCCAACAGAGTCGGATTCCTCTGCCGGACGCGGGGCCTCAGCGGCTGTTCACAAACAAACCACAGTCAGAACGTCACTGAAATAAGAAGGAAGGAATCGGTGAGGGTCCAAGAAGCGTACACCTGACAGCTAATCCATTTCATCTCCTGATTACATCACCACCGGTTCTGCGTTTCTTCATTCCTCATTCCTCGATGCTCGCTGCACTGCCCTGCCGCCTGATCTCCAAGCTGGCAAATGACGTAGACTACAAACTGGCAAGTGACCTCAGGATAAAGTGCTTCCCGATAGAGTCCTGAACATATTTTCCCCACCATCCTCCTTGCCCCACCCCAACGCCCCCCAGACGCTTTCCTCCTGGTCGCCCCTCACTGCTCCACGCGGTCCCCCTCAGCGGGCTCCCCCGGGGGGGGCGCCACCTGCTCGCGGAACTCCTGCCTGGCCTGCCGGTTGGACTCCAGCAGGTCCTTCAGCTTGGCATTGAGCACGTCGTTGCGCTCCTCCAGGTCATCCAGGCAGGAGTTGATCTGGTCCAGCATGGAGTTAATGGCCGCGTACTCTGGAAGAGACGGCGACAGAAGCACAGTTCTGCACTGCTGGGATACACCCGGGGCTGCTCCCTAACCCTGATCCTGTTGATGCCTAGTAACTGTCCGGACAGAGTCCCTGATTCAACATCAATCTCACACTAACCCTCGTCAACGACAATTCCGCCGGCAAGCTTAAGAAACAAGATACTATTAAATATGATTATTTAAATAACATGACACAGCAACAGAAGCGTATCGATGAGAAGAATTTTAAGCTACCGGACAGTTGTTGCCCAGCGTAAATCAACAATGATAACTTGCGGTTATATTTTTCAAATCTGTCTTTTAAAAATCACAAAGTGCATTTACCTTCCTCGCTGAACTCGTCGTCTTCGCCCACTTCGATGGAAACACTTGGATCTCCATTTGGTCCGGACATGATCTTTGTGGATCACAAAAACGGGTTTACCACCTCGAACAGGACAGCTTGTTTTGGCGAGCCTAATTTAGATCACAATACCCTTCACTGAACAGGTCAGATTAGAGTGCAGCGTACATATATAGGACAGCTACAGAATGCAATCAATGCCTTCAGACACAGCGCTAGGTCTATAAACAAGTGAAAAGTACTGCCATACAGCTAGAAACCCAAACTCAGAATATCGCCATTTATCATAACCCGGTTATTTTAAAAAGCAGAACGAATGATCGGCTCAGCTGATGTTCACGAGTAAGGACACTAGGGTGTCCAACGATAACGCCTTAATCGTACATGAGTTAAGTTTTGTAGTGCACAATTCTTTTAAATATAATGAATAAAAAGGAAAAAAAAATATTTAAGTGCATTTACTGAAATAATTGTATGTAACAAAAATCTTCACCGCCATTTTTTAAAAACATTTGTTAAAGGCATCTTGTGAGCTACTTCACACGGGGTCCTTCAGTCAAAGACCCTGCGGGTGTTGTTGTATGTTCGGATAGTAGTTCAGTCTTGCAAGAAAAACAGACTTCTTACAGCGATACCCATATCTGGGTATTATCCAGTTTTAACAAAAGGTTCCTTCATGAAAAACTCGCTCATTCTGCTATTTAGTCTGTGTTGTTTCGCCATGCATTTTCCAGAAGTTTGCCAGCAAGATATTTAAAAAGTGCTTTTGAGATTATGTATGACGAAAGCCGTAAAAACAGTGATTATTAAGCAGTACATTTTGTGGACAAATCTACTGCACATTCATTTTTGTGCAGTGTATGTGTAGCATATTACGTTGCACAAATCTATTTTTTTCTAGGTACATATCAGACAACTTAAAAACCCGATGAACAGGATTAAGATTTTATGAATATTACGAATTGAATATTATGAATTTACTGTACGTGTATACAAAAAAATCCCACATGCATACACAAAAGTCTCATTATAAGACACTTTAGTTTTGTATGGACCTCACGATGTCAATAGCTTTAACAATAGCTTGTGTATTTTTTCTTTTCTATTGTAGACGATACTTTATCCAAAAGCAGGGTTGTAAAATAAAGTTGGATATTAACGCGCCGTTGTTCTCGTAATAAGACTGCGCCACGATAAAAAAAAAAAACAGGTCTTTCACTGAGGTCTTCCAGTACAATACAAACTGAGCCCATCGTGTTCAAATGAGCAGACAAATGTCCGTGCTACACTGTCATGGAATAGCTACTGCATGAAGGATTTAGGTTACATAATGCTGTCGTGGACACACAACTGAGTACGCACAATGCAAATACTGAAAATTATACATACTGCAAAGAACTTGCTGCTGCCTTTAAAAAAAAAACGCAGTTAACTTACAAAAACAACAAGGCCTCCCTGATGCAACACAATGTAAATGAAAAAAATATATATTTTTCGTGCCAGCAGCCTACAGCAGAGCGGTGTCTTATCTACAATGCCTAACGTCTTGTCCAGCGAGGCACCCCAGTTTACGGCTCTTGGGAAAGTGTGTGTGTGTGTGTTGGGGGTGTGCGTCTTTCACAGCCACAACAGTGGAGACGGACACGGTGTGAGCGCTCAGGCTTTAGGAAAGCCGGTGCCTCTGGGCTCTGAAATCGCTGTTTTCCACTCTTCCCCTCGGCGGAGGGGGCTGACGTCAGCCGAGGTGAGATTCCTGGGATTCTTTCGAGACAAAAGGTCTCTCCAGTGCTCCTACAACGGCGACAGACCAGCTTCCCAGCCGTGCGCTGAAGACGTCCCCTGTCCGAAAGTCATACTCCACGGCTGTTTCAAAACTGGGAAATCGGAGAGCCGTAAATAGGACGGACTTCTCGACAGAAGCATTGTGGTGCCCGCTGAAGCTTTAGGAAACCCGCACGGTCCCGGGGTTGTTGTTTTTTTTTTTTTACAGTCTCCTTAGAAGTGTAAGTGAATTGTTTTCTGCTGTTCCGCTAAATACTGGACTACAAAAGCGCCAGTTTGTCATGCAAGTTATCAATTTGCTCTCCTTCAAAGCTATCCTTCCCCCTACCTCGATAGGGTTTCTCGGCTGGAGACTACCAAAAGTTTTAACTCCATGCTAATTGTTCCTAATGTCGAGTAAAATGACTGTACAAATGTTGTTTACACAGACGGGCTCGGTATGTCCTGTACTTCGTTTAGGTTCCTATTAAATTCCATTATATATTTGCCTTTCTTTTTCTCTATTGAGATTCATAGAGGATCACCTGATCGCTGCCGATATAATGATAATGGCATAGTAGTGACTTGTTTTTCTTTTTAGCCTGACACGAACTTAAGCGCCAGGTAAATGTTGAGCGGCTATGAGGCAATTTACTGTAGCTAATAACTGTAAAGAAGCTTGCATGTGATTGTAAAAAAAAAAAGGTCCGACACCTGTTTTTTTGGGGGGGTGTTAACGGTAGAGTTTCTAATTGGTATCGAATCGGCTACTACGAATTGAGACGACGTGAAACTGTATATATTTTGAAAAGTTAAAAAAAAATCGGGGCCCCCAATGAAGTTGCTCTGGGTTCAGGTACATTTCCTACACAATCAGCCCGTGTAGTGCGGCTTTCTGACATGCCACAAAATCGGGCAGCCTCAGCACCGAGGAAATATCGACCTCAGCTGCAGAACACCGAGCAACTTTCATCCCCACCCCCAACACCGGCTCTGGCGGCGATTATGGCTTGTGCATGCCGCAGGGTCTGACGTGGACGCTCACGCCGTAGTCGTATATTTTCACTCTTGAGGGGAGAGGCAGTTGCAACTGACGCGGCGATGCGCCTCTTGGTTTTTCGCGCAGGCCGGAGCCCGCGGCGCGTCCGTCCCCGCCAGGCGAGGCGGCGATGTCTGCGAGAGAAGGGCCGAAGGCGGCGGAAAGCCCGGAGCTCATGGAGGCTCTGGAGGGTCGCCTCCGGGAGCAGGTGGACCGGCTGGAGCACCTGCGGCTCTCCGCCACCGAGCTGAAGGAAAACATGGCGGCGGTACGACACTTGTCCGCTCCGGGGTTTGAACCCAAACGCCTTCATCACCTGCAGTCAGCCTCAACCCTAACTCTTTCCTAGCCCTAATTCTTCACCTAACCTTGGTCTAAACCTTCCAGACTAGAGGGTAAAGGCAGCCAGCGCCCTGAAAAAGTGGATGTTTCTGGGAGAGTATTTAAATAAGTGGACCTGCAAACTCCCACACACATTCAAGATCAGAACACGTAACAGTAGGGATGGGTGGCCCAGGTCCTGCAGGTTTTAATTCCAGCATGGGTCTTAATGAGCTAAACCGCTGAATGGCTGGCCTCATTGGACCAATTGAACATCTTCTCCCAGTTAGGTGCTGTGCCTCTAAAGGTCACCTTGACAACTTGCCCTCTGGGACCAGGTCTGAACTCCCCCTGCTGGTTCCTGGACAGCACCTGACTCCTTCCTCAGTCTCCAACCTTGGGATCACTAGACTGTGGGGTTACGAGTCAACAATGCACTAAAGCATATTGGGGTCTTTCTTTTTGGAACTTTTTCAGTCTCTGGGGGGCCAAGCTTTTCCTGCTCAGCAGGAGAAGGTGGCTTCTGGGTAAAAAAAAACAGCTCTCTGCAGTTAATGAAAGAAAACATCATTTTTAGTAGGCGGAGGTCAATGATCTGTCATTGGTTTTAGCCAAGGACATCTTGGGTGGAATGCGGGTGGTGACCCACAGTTCTAGTTTTCATAGCAGCTGGTCTCTTTGAATCGAGTCTTTAATTGAGCCAATTGATCTCCCCAAGTGGACCCTTTTCCAGTTCCTCAAAACCCAGGAGGTTTCAAAGAAACAACAGAACACTGTAAGTTTAGGACCTGTAATTGACTGAAAAGGCCTGAGTAATGACATAACTATGTCAGTTAAGGGATCAGCTTTATAACCGGGTTCTCTGGAATACATACCAGGGAATCAGATTGGATCCCAGTGATATAACAGGAACTGCATGTAAAGACTGCAGGAATTGTGGACACTGGATACTCCTAGCATTGATCCCTAGGTATCCGAATGTCTATTATCTCTTTTCCATAGTAAGAAGTTTGCCAGTGATTAAACTTCATTATGAAACTGGTGGTGTTACTTGTTATTTGTTAAATTCCAGCAAAACAACATCGACCTGAAGATGTCCATCGCTGACCATCTGGATTGGCTGGCCCGACTTAGCGAGCGAATGGAGACTCTGCAGATGAGCACAGCTGTGTTTGTACAGGTGAGAAGGCAGATCAAAAGTGGCAGATTCAAAGGGGCATTTCTGAGAAGACTGTGACTGCTTCCCTTAAATTGAGAAACGTTCGATACCGTGCCTCATGACATACATGTGATCTGGCGTGTGTCCTTGCAGTGGGATCCATAATTCTATTCCCCAGACCACATCTGCATGAGCCATTATACATAGTTTGTTGTGTTTTAAAATTTGACAGATTTATCCATTCAAAACCATTGTAAGAATTGTAGGTACAAAGTCCAATAAATCCTACCCAATGCATTGCTTTTAAATTGGGATTTAATAAGATATTTTTGTTTTTGGCATCCCACCCAGTGTGTACCCATTAAGCTGCTATAAAGTGAATGAGCTCAGTTTTAGTCTTTCTGCAGGCATCTATTGAAAGAAAGTATGTCCACTAGGCTGGCAGGCTTAAATTAGGACGTCTTTGTCCTGCTGAGGAGCACCTCTTTCTGTCGTAATCGTACTCAAGAGATTGTCCTTTTTATTCCCAGATGAACACCAAGCCTCGCACCTGGGGCAGCACGCAGGGTTCCAAGCGCTATGGACGCAGGCCCAGGCCACCGTTCGGCGACGATGCCCAGTCTGAGTTTGGCTGGTCTCCCGCGCGCACGCGCAGGAACAGCGACGCGGCCTCTGAATTGTCCTGTGCCTGGTAGCCGCTTCGCACCATTCCTAGTGATCAGGACATCGGCGAGAATGACCTTTGTCCCCCCCCCGCAGTGAAGAGACGGTGACCTTTCATCTTTCACTTGTGTCAGCCAATCAGGAGTTCGACCTTGTGCTCGCAGATTGACCTTTCACCTCTGACACTAACCAGCATATTGCGTGGCGTCCTCATGTTGCTCATTTACACTGAAAAAGATTAAATATGAGGTTTCTTTGAGTATTGTGATGTTGAATCCTATTCTTCCAGAGACAGCGAAAAAGCTTCTTCAGGGCAGGGTGGTGTTGCAGTGGTTAGCACTGCGCTGGAGCCACAGGAATTGAGTTTGAGACCCCCTAATCTGAAAGGAACTAAACGCATCAGAACGTTTCCGTTCGCACCTAAATCATTCTGAATTTCCATTTCAGCTTTCCTTTAAGCAAAGTGTTCGCTAATCTTAAAACTTTCGTCTGCGAACTCGATTAGTTTAGCCAAACGTAGACCATCAATGGAAATTAGGAAGAGCCGTGGTCCTGATACAGACCCCTGGGGTACTCCCCTGATGAATTCGCCTGACGTTGAGCCTTCGTGCACACCACCTCATTTGTGCCAGAATGGGAGATCTCTAACACAAAGCTTGAGTTCTGCTGAAAGCAGGCTTGAAGGACCAATAACGTAGGGGTGCAGAAAGTCACAGTGCATTGCACTGCAATTGTGAAAAGTTTATTATGCCACCTGGAGAGCTTTCCTCGGCTCGAAAAGCAGAGAGCATTTCTCCATCACCTTTAGACATCACACTTCTTTCTGACCACGAATGCTGTGTTGGGAAAAGGGGTATATTTGCGCTACCGTGTGCTCCCTGGGGAGGCGCTGTTTACAGTGTAACGGATTTGTCAAAGCAAGTGATTTAGAGATAATAAGCAATCAAACTCTTGCACCCTTCTGTCCCAAACGTCCAGAAATTCCCTAATATTACATGCCTAAAATGTACATGTGATGTTTTTGGCATATAACATACAGGCTGATGAAAACGAGATGTTCTTAGCATATTTTTAAATATCCCCTGTACTGCCCCACCTACTGGTGCAGGGTATGCGCCTGCCCACCAGCAAAGTCTGCAAACAACCAGCTACACGGGAGGTCCGCTGCATGAACTCTGCCAATGCACGTTTCTTCACTCGTCTTCAGCACGCCGCTGGCCCGATGTCGGCCTGTCATGACATGACAGCCCAGCTCCCTGTAAACAGTATTCCCAGGGCGGTGACGTCAGCCGCAGGTTTCTGGTAAGTTCCACACCAGGCCCCGCCCCCCCCCGGGCTCCAGCTCTGTCTGCGACGAGAGCGTTTAAATAAAGCTTCGAGGAAAACGTGCGTCTGTTTCGGGGGTAACTTCTGCGGGTACAGATTTTGTGGGGGGGAAAACAAAAAACAAGCGACGTCGCGTCATAACCTGTGTAAATAAGAGACTTATCTTTGTAACAATGGCAGAAAGTGACTGGGATACCGTGACTGTCTTGAGGAAGAAGGGCCCGACTGCGTCGCAGGCGAAGTCCAAACAGGTAAAGTGGGCAGCCTTCGCGGTGGCCGGTCTCCGGGGCTCCGCACTAATCGAGCCCGGGGACGGGAGCGGGAGGACTGGGCCTCTCGGCTCGATCCCGTGTGCAGACCGTAAACGACTCGCCCTTTTCGCCCGACGACACTACTGAATGCCGAAGGAGGCGTCGTCAGACAAGAAACCGTGCGTTGTAGTTTGTTCAAAGGTATACACGGCCACACTGTTCGTGTGTTTGCATTACATATGTGCAGGGTGACGTGCGAGAGTGGTTTAAAGTCCAGTGTTCTCCACCCAACGACATAGTAGTTTCCCCTATAAACCTATAATATGTTTTTTTTTAACGTTATTAAACTGTGGGAGCTGACCCCATTTTCGCCAGTGAGCTTCGAGGTGACCGTGTCGTGTGGAGATATTGGCCTCGGACGGGCCACTGGTTAATGTTCAGGAGATCGGGGTGCTCGTTATATTACCGATGCACAGTACTGGTGTTATCCTGCGTGCATTGTCATTACGACGAGGAACAGCACGAACAGGCGTCCTCAAACCAGCAGCCGGCCGTTCATGAATTGTCGCTCCATGTTAACTTCGAGCGGCCGATTGAGAATCCGCGTCTCCTGCCCGTTAAGCGCCCATCGCTGCTGACTCGGTGCTTGCAAAACGCTACGATGTTAGTGAGCCGTTTTCCAGTAAATCTGTGCCAAATATATTTTGAAGACCCCCCTCCCCCGAGGAAATGCCTATGACGAAGCTTTTGCAAATGCCCTCTGTAATGATGGACTTTGTCTTCCAGGCAGTTATAGCAGCACAGAGAAGAGGAGAGGAGCTCGAAACCACAAAGAAATGTAAGAATCCTGCGTAGTTGTGAAGTGTGGTACTATGCATTTTGTTTTTTTTTTTCACAAACCTGGAAGTGTAGTATTGCCTGTGACTTTGTGTCAGGTCACATGGCTTTGTTTTGCTGGGCGTGCTTGGAGTCCCTGTGTATCCACCTGTATGTCCCTGAGCTTATGGACTGCTTATCATAAGGGTGCAGTTTGTTATGGGGACATGAAGAGTTCTCCAGGCTTGTCAGACTTTATACTAGGTAGTCTTGTAGATTTACTAATTTACAAATGTAAAATTTACATGTGACGGTTTGAAACTTTGTGTAAGTCTTGTAGAAAGTAATCACTGTTCCCGTTTGGTTGATACGTCCTTTTAAATGCCACCAAGTAATGGTCTCCTGCTGCGATTTCTATCTTGTCTACTAAAAGGCTTACATTTCTGTCCATGGGGAAAACCAGTGCGTTTATAATATAATACATTTATAATAGTTTTTTTTCCAGCTAAGGTTTTAGAGATGTGACTTAAAAACATTTCTTTCGGTGCCTGACCTCGAAGAAACGTTTGAGTTAAAGATTTGTCTGCTTATCACAAAAGGTGTTTTCCCATGGCATTGAATTACAGTCGGTGTTGGTTTTCACCAGACTTTCTGGATTATTAGAGGAAGCAGTAGTTATGGAGCTTGGGGAATGCCCTTTAAAAAGGTTATGACTGTTTGTAGATGCCTTGATTACAGTGAAAGGATACAGAAACGGTAGTGCGTAATCATTTGCAAAAACAGAAGTCCTTTTGGTTATCTTTAATAGTTTCATCTGATCTTCCAAACATACAAGTCTGAGAAGTAGGTGTAAAACTGGCTAACGGGGACAGCAGTGTCACTTTTAACCTGTGTGTGTGTGTTAGTTATTTTTCAAACCCTGCAAATATATCAAAGAGACAAGGGAGTTCCACTTACAGCAACTGGAGAAGGTGCTCTTAATTTAACACCAAATCTTATTTAGTCCGAGTAGTGATCCAGGAATCCTCTTGACAGTAAGTTCATGTCCAGCATTTTTTTTTCCCCAGTACTGTTTTTTCTTATTTTGGCAGAACCTTGATTTGGGGTTTCTGCAATGGACAGCTATTATAAATCCATGTAAGATTCACTCATCCTCCAGCTTTTTTTAACATACTTTGAAGTCACGTTAATCGGCCCGCTGTATGTTGAGTTGACAGGGAAAACAGGAGGGACTGCATCATCTCGGTTCAGCTGCTGTTAGACACGGTACCACTCTATAACATGCCCACATGCTATAGCAGTGGTTTTACCCATAGTGAGTTATTTTTGCAGAAATGATGTGTTTGTGGTTTGAGCACTTATTCATGACTAGTTTTCATTCAGTAGTTATGATTGATCGATACTGAGGTGCGATTAGTAAGCCGGATAAAGTGCACATTATACAAAAAAAACAGTGGGGGTGGCAAAAATACAAAAAGCTGCAAGGAGCAGCAGAAATATTTAGACGATCATTTGGTTAAACACTTGCCAAAATTACTGTTGTGAAACGCACAGTGATCCACACAGGGCGTAGTAACAAATTATAGGTAGTAAGCGTCTAATTCGAAGTGTCCTAAAGCCTTGGGCGTATTTTTTTTTCTTATGCAGGTTCCTCTGTGTTCTCATCCAGACCATGTGGGGAATCGATAAAATGCCAGTAGTGCTTGGGTATACAGCAAAATGTGCGGGACTTAAAATCAGAGAAGTTAATGCCCAACCTTCATATTCCATATTAAGACTTCTTTAAGAAGGTTGTGCTCGCCATACCAGTAAAAGGTCGTTGCTCGTCAGGAATTCTTTCTGAAAGTGCAGACAGGGTAAAGGAATTAAATCTCTTCAGTCTAGGCCAAAAGGCATTAGAGTAGAGATGGGACTCAAGCATGTGAAATATTAAGGGGTATACATCAGTTAAACCCAACTAAGTACTTAGTAGTGAAATAAGGACACCGAGTTGCACATGGAATGTAAAAGGCATTTCACTCAGAAGGGGGGAGTAGAAAACAATTCTTTAAACACTGACTGGCTGGTTTCCCTTTGAGGCTTTGGCTTCACCATCAAGAAGAGGTGAAACAGCTGTGTTTGTCTTTTAAATTTCCATTAATTTGGCCTGTGCCTAGACATTGTATTGTCTGAGTGGTGCACCCTGACCATGCTTACACAAACGGGCAAAAGGTAAAAAAAAACACGGTTGTGGTTCCCACTGTTTAGAACAAGTTTTAAAATGTACACTTTTATTTCTCTTTCTGCCCATTTGCTGTTTATATAAACCAATCTTCTATTTACATGTACTTATGCCCTTTAGAATGTTACACTGGACAATGGTTCCAAGCAGGACTGTATGTCAGGGCAGTACACTCATAAGCTGTTGCTATGCTGCTATGTCAATTAAAAAACGTTTCTGTGCCAGTGGACTTGATTGTTTTGAACGTTAAGGTAGACAATCATTTAGAGGTCATATAACTGTTTGTGACTATCTTTAATTTTATCTGCTATATGATGTAGAATTTGTACAAGGTGGACACTGTTTTAGAAATGCTTAATCCATCATTTATCTTATACCTTGATTGAACGTTTTAGCTATTCCATACATCTGTTTGCAGCAGTGTATATGAACCTAATAAAAACATGCTTGTGTTTGATTCTTATCTTACAATCCCAGCAAAACCTGTGAAAGTTGCTACAACAGTGTTTTATTCTTAATGCAGTGGTGCGTTTTGAATGCCAGTGTTTCTGTGCTTTGTGGCCTAGGAGGAATGCGTCCTGTATTTTCTGAGTGGTGCCGCGGGAGCCAGCTAGCGCTTTACTGTGCTGTGATCCCACAGGGTCTGCAGGACAAAACAAGCAGCACGTGGTGACCAAAAACACAGCCAAGCTTGATCGGGAGACGGAAGAACTGCACCACCAGAGGGTCTCGCTGGAGGTGGGAAAAGTCATCCAGCAAGGCAGACAGGCCAAAGGACTGACCCAGAAAGACCTGGCCACTGTGAGTAACATCGTGACCTACCTGGAATGGAACCAGTACTTGCTGAATTAACTCCGCTAATGCATGCGACACCAGAGGTATTTTGCAGCAGATATTAAATCTGAATGACTTCAGGGTTATTTAGCGTCTGGTTGGTATAGCTGAGTTTTGTTTTTATCTGTGTATTATTTACGTCCCACACCTGAAAGGGAGGGTTTGCCTTCTAAGCATCAAACACTACATGAGCACTATTTGAACAGTATGTCAGGATTTCTCCCAAGTCAGAAGTACATACCTTATGTCGGTATGTTTGAAATATAGCTGTAGGATACATTGGAACATTATGGTCATTGACATCATTAAAAATGATAGTTTCGTGCTTCAGGAAAGGTGTTCAGTAAAGGGCATGATTTCATCACGTTTTTAAGCACTCAGTAATTGAAACTGAGCAGTAATGAAGAACTGCAGAATGTTTAAACTGAGCTAATGTGAGCTGATTCTAATGTGCCCAGATATATGTGTATATGTGTTTTGGTCATTGGAGCTAGTAATAACTTAAGACCACCTAAAAAATCCACAAATATAAAACTTCTGTGCCTTTTTTTCATTTTATGGTTCAGAAAATTAGTAATATAAGAAAGGATGTTAAATTTGTCTAATAAATTAAGAAATCCTGTAATATGTTTGGATTTAAGGCACAAGTTAAATGTATGGTTTTGCTGTAACTTATTTAATGTTCACATTTGGTGGAAATCATTACATTTTCATACATTTCTTATTTCTGTAGAAAATCAATGAGAAGCCTCAGATCATTGCGGACTATGAATGCGGAAAAGCCATTCCTAACAACCAGGTCTTGGGGAAGATTGAGCGAGCTATTGGTGAGTATTCACACTTGTTCACTGGAAACTACAGACTCACTAATGCGGAACCTGTTGGATGACTGTCCTGATTCAGGACTTATGAACTAAAAAAATAGGTCTGTCTTCACAAGGAAATGCACTGCTAAGGGGTTGAATGACACTGCATTCATTTCTGCCATTTTGCTGGTCAAGGGATTGCTGCTTGGAGCTTTTAGCTTTAAGGGTATACTGCCAATTGACGGACTGTTTACGGAAACAGTACACAGGCTTGTTTGTGCTGTATGGTGAACTTGTCTCAACAGAGGAATTTGCATGTTTGAATAGGGATGTGCTTAAGCACAGTGGCGCTTGAATTGTGTTGAAGTTGCAAGCTGCTCATTCATGACTCCCCGAAGCTCTTAATAGTAAAATTGTGAATATCATTTTAAAGCCGTGTAAAACAAATTATGAACAATTTTAAATCCAAGCATTTTCTTCTGAGAAATGTATAGTACATTAAATGCCTCTTTAATGGTTTATATATAACGTGTAATGCTATAATAAATGAAAAAAACTGAATTCACACTATTGTGCCTTTTGTGTACTGTTTTTTTTGTGCAATTGCGGATTTCTCCCCGGAAACGTCTGAGCCCTGAGCTATCCGCTCCACAGACTCCCACAGCTTCCTATTAATTACTCCTATGATGTGTAGAAAGAGCATCGCTACAGAATGAGCCAATTATTTTGAGAGATCTCTATTTCAACACTCAGTACCCTTCCCCCTTGTTTTGTTTCAGTGAGTCCCTTTGAAATGTCTTTGGGCACTGCGTAATGTCGAGTAAGCAATTACAGCACAGTTTATACCCCTTTCACTCCACACTTGTTCCTTTGTGTATATGTGCACTTGATCTGCACTACTAATGTTCTCCAAAAGTACTTCATGGGCAGGTTTTCACTTCATCTGGGTGTCCCAGAAACTGCTTCTCTGCATTTAATCATGTTAGTAATGCGTTGTACATCAGATAGGTGCAGTTGTAAAACTGAAACCCAACGTTATATGATGTAATCAGAAATAACTTGGCATGTGCGTACTGCAACATGAGATCGTTTACCCAGCCAACTCTAAAGTACTGTAGCCGTTAGTTCTTTTATGTGCTCCCTGTTGACTTGCCTGTATGGAGGGTGAGGATTTTAAACCAGGTATACACAAGTGTCACAGGCTGGTGGCATCTTGCTGTTTATTTGCGGTGTATGTGAACAAAACAAAAAAGATTCCAATGCATGGTTCTGCTTGGAGATAAATACCATATTTATCAAATTAATTCAGCATTTTTACACCAGCATGGAATTAATTTAATTTCATGATGTTTTGTCAATTATTCGTTAAAGGGAATTGAAGTGTTTGGGAATAGGTTTCTATTGTTTAGTGTAATACAACTGAGTTTTTTATCACATTTTACATATTGGTGGTAAATACTAAAATATCAGGAGTTTAGTTTTACCTTTTCTCATGTAGTAAGGAATCAGTCAGTCTTAAACATCAAAATTAACTTATCTAAAAGTGCTAACTGGTAGCAAAAGCAGTAGACTTAATGGCCAACTTTTGTTTTTCAGATGTAGAGTAGTCATCTGTACTTTGTTGTTGACATTTTAATTCTGAATAAAATCCTCTTTCATGCTGAAAACTTTCACACGTATTTTTTAAACTTTACCCAGACTTTTGAAAAGGCAATTCTTTCAAATCTGGGTGAATGTTACAAACTACAACTCCGAAATATAATATACAGTACATAGTACATACAGTATACAGTACTCTTAATGATACTACATGCTCCTCCTTGGGGAAAAAAAAAAGCAGTGGAATCCTTAAGCTGTAACATGTACTAGTACCATAAAAATGCAAGAACTATCGCATGAACTGGCAGTACACTAGACAACTACAAAAGATAGCATCTTAAGTTAATATTTAAAGAGCAGTTTATGGGATTTCTTATTTTGGTTTAATGCTAATAGAATAGTTGGCAGTCTGAGCCAGCTGTTACAACATAAGGTACATGTGGTATTGATGTTTAGAGAATTTATTGGTGCAGCCGTATGAAAAATGTTCTCTCAGAAGGCAGTGTCTGATAACACTAGTGTATAGCATTAGACCTCTGTAATTGTGTGTGTAACACATGTATTAAGTGCTTTTCCATGTAACTTCCAGTGTGCCTGGAAAACAATTGCTTTAAAGTTTTAATTTTAATTCTTGAAAAGGTTTCTTTTGGTGTTGGTATGAAAGAAGGCACAAATGGTAATAATGGATCCCATTTGGCATGTTTGATAAGGCTATCGGTTGGTTCAAAGCTATTGTAAGCATGAAGTGTTGAACTGTTGGCATGAGTAATTGGCAGTAAAGGACCTTTTGAGAGAAATATTTAGAATGGGATTGGTCAGGAAACCTGCCCTGTACAGGTATCATCTTGAAATGTTACCTTCAATGGGTTTAATGAGTGCCCCTTTCTTTCTCTTTTCCAGGGATGAAGCTGCGCGGGAAGGATATTGGACTACCCCTCGAGGTGGTTCCAAAGACAAAATGAACACAAAGCCTCGAAGTCGGCCCCCTGTGCCATCGGGGCTGATCTCGGCTGGTTCCCACGGGAGAACCAGGGTGTTCAAGGTCATTGCCAAGAGGAGGAATGGTGGCTTTCATACACAAGATCCCAAATTCCTGTGGTTTAAAGTGTTGGGTTTGGCATGAAACAAGCTCCTGGAAAAGATGTTCCTGCTTTTTTGGTTTTGGTTCATACCTATTACCAGAATTTTACCACTGTTCTTTGAGTATATTTTTTCTTTTAAAGAATCATTCAAGTTCCATCCATTTTTAGGCAGTGCGTTTATAGCAACTGTGAACCCTGGGTTTTCCTGGGGGTTTTTCTTCACATACGATACGGAGACCCTCCCAAGTTGTTGTTTGGACTTAAATAAAGATAAAACCCTTTGGCATTTCACCTGCATTTGTGGCTTTTTTTAATTTCTGATTTGGTGCGGCAGCCCTTTTCTTTCAGTTACTCTTAGGGGAGGTTCGCAAAGTCTCTACCTTGCCTGCTTGAACAGGGCTTTTTTAAAAAATATTTTACAAGCTTGTGCACAGTATACTATGCCAATATCTTAGGTGCTAATACATCAAAATTGGGCACTGGTTCTCTGTTTCTCAGCAGCTGTTGTCACACATCTGTATGAGCTATTTGGAAAGAGAAAATTAAATATATGATGTGCAAGTACTGTTGTCCTTGTTTTGATTGTTTTTTTTGTTGTTTTGAAATGACACGACTGTATTTGGCAAATGATGAAGTATTGGGTCTTTCAGCTCAATGTAAGGATTTCCCGTCTTTTACCTTGAAACTGAATCGTTGTTCTGTTTTTAAGAGTGATGTAATTTCCAGGCTAAAAGATACTTTAGAATTCCTTGAGCAGTTTCAATAAAAGAACATTACGAGTTCATTTGACTCCTGAGGAACTTGCTGTGGTACTTAACAGTTTCAAGGTGGTTGTTGGTCTCGGACAATGGTACATTCTCCTTGTGCATTGTCCCGCAGTATGCTCTGATAGTGTGCCTTGTTTGTAGATGTTTGATAGATTAAACATTGCAGTGGTGCTCTGTGGCCAAAATTAACTCTTTACGCAGTTGGGATGAAAAAATTCCACAAGTGGGGAAATAAAGGCTTGTCTAGAATTAAAAATTTAGATCACAATAAAGTAAGATGAGATTAGTGGACATTTAGATTTTAATGTTTGTATTGGGTATATTTTTAGCCTCAGAAGCTAATCCAGTGGAGCTACTGCCTCTTCTCGCACAGTCATCAACAAATTGTCTTTTCAGGTTCTCCACTTATCAGGATGGAAGATTTGTAATTCCCTCCCGACAGGAGTTGTTGCTGAAAAAGTTTGGAATGTGAATGGGATAATGTGACATCTAGGGTAATGGCGAACCCTCAAGTCAGAGTCTGCAGATTGGGGATAGTTATGCTCCACAGGTATATATCTTGTATGGCTTCCAGCAGTGGCTGTGCAAAGCTATACGTCTGTGATGTTCATAACAAGCTCCTTGTGGATCAATCCTGTTGATGACGCATTAATCCACATTTAACATTTCATCTGTTAAGTGAAATGTCAATGTACCTACTGCACAAAAGATTGTCATTTTGCTTACTGTGATAAAATTGTAACAGCAGTGATGGGTTTCTTTTGATGCTCAGTATGGAACTATTATCGGTACAAGATCACTGTAGAGCAGATGGGTATAAAAACCCTGGTTTTCATGAAACATTTTCAGGAGTTTTTGAATGGGTTTGTAATAGTGGTCAATTCCAGAAGTAATTAAGTGCACTTTTAAACAAGATGAATAACATTAAAGAAGCGTCTGAAAAACTGCACAAGTTTGCAGAGAAACAAGAAGGAAGATGCTCACAGAATTTTTTTTGTTAATTGTGAGTTACAGGTGTTTTCCACTAGATGGCAGTCTATCCCAGCATAAAATACACAAGGTTCAGACGACATGCGCACTCGAAAACCAACATGAGCACAACGATTGGTTTATTGGTTGTTGTTGTTAGATGCATGGATAGTTCACTTTTTGTAAACCCAGCCCTTAAAAAATGTTTTGATAAATCACATTAAAACCACTGGTGCTTGGCAGCGTGGCTGAAAAATAAAAAAAGGGGAAGACTCGGCTTGCAACTTTATTTTCAGATCTGTCTGTTTTAAGTAATTCTGGCCATTTTCTTCATAGTTAAGCAGCAATATCAGTTCACTAGGGAGCAACAGTTAACAACTTCCAGAAATTACCAGCAAATGAAATCGGCTGTATTCTACTGTGAAAAGTTTAACTGCATGTACGGTATGTAGCAATCAGAAAACGTCTATCCATTTTCTAATCCAATACAGGGTCACAAGGAAGCCAGAGCCTATCCTGGCAAACAATGGGCACAAGGCAGGGTACACTCTGGATGAGATGCCAGTCCATCATAGGGCACCCACATTTGCTCTCTGGGAGGGAACTGGAGCACCTGGAGGAAACCCACGTGAACAAGGGAGAGAACATGCAAACTCCACACAGACAGTACCCCGGGTCTGAAATTGAACCCAGCCCACCTGCACAGTGAGCCAACACCGCCAACCCCAGTGCCACCGTGCCAACAAGAACACATTTTCTTTATAGTAGTTGTTTTCATTTATGTATTGCATCTCATCATCAAGAATCCCAAGTCACTTTGCATAGAGTAGGAGACCCACTTCACTGCTATGAGGCTGATGAGCCAGGTACCTAAGAAGTTGCTTCACTGGCTGTATTAAGGGAAAAATCTGGGAAGCTTAGATTGTGTAACTCAGTTTACTGAGTGAACACACTGACCCTCTCAAATAATCCAGCCAGTCAGCATCTTGGTTTAATCTAAAGAATGACATCTCCTACAGCCCAGTGTCCCCAGTCCCTATACTGGGGCATGATACTGAAACTTCTGGTTCAGAGGAGGAAACATCACCTACTAGCCCGCCAACAGTAGTAACACTCTCAGTCTCCCAGTACTTGCTAAATCTGGCTACCAGGGGGTAGTGTTGCTGCCTAATCTACAAACCTCCCCAGAAACATCCTTCAAAACACTATTCAAACACCTCAAAGGGAAACGCATACGAGCTAAAAACAGTCCTAAAACCACATTATGATTATTATGATATATACCATTATCGGACAACTCCAAAATGTTCATCATATGATTTTGGTTTCATGCATTTGATTGGGTCTTTTGAGCATCATTTCTTTATGTCCAACATCTGAAATAAAAAAAAACATACTTCTGGATGAAATTCAGAAACAGACCCATCTCAGGAAGAATGTAGCCAAGAGTAAGTAAGTTAGAGTAAATTATTTATTCAATACTGAGTCATTTTGGACCAGTTAGAGCAGTGTTTGTTAAAAAATAACGTTTCCTAAAATATAAGAGATGTAGAGCACAGAAGGGGATGTATACATGCTAATCTTCTCGAAAACAGAAAATACGTAAATTGTTCACCATTTATGGTTCACCACTCTGCCCTCAGGCGCAAAGCATTTCAAATGTCAGTAAACTCCAAGACAAGAAAAAATACAAAACTCGTCAAAGACGGTGTAATGCTCTTTGAACACAAGTCCACAAGTGTTTCAAGTACTGTACTTCAGGTATTTCGCTTACTAGTTACTAGTGTTTCTAAAAGTTTCGTCGTATTGCCGATTTTATGAAAATCAAAATAAGATGTCAATGATATTGTAACTCCAAGGGAGGGACAACAACCAGGAAGTCTCACATGGCTGTGCCTAGTGGCCATCATTACAAAAATTAGCTACATAAACTGAACTCGGTCACCCCCCTTTGCGTGTCTCCTACCCATTTCCAGCCTGCAGCTGCCCCTTAACTGAGTGGGTTAAGCCAAACCTATCTTAACAGCTATTCCAAACATTCACGAAGCATTCAACTCTTGGATGTTGTTATGCCTAGTGAAATATATATATATACTGTATGTATTACATTTCCTTTTGGCACACATGAAATTTGTGACCCACAACCCTTTCAAATATAGTCATGCAGGAAGGTAATGGGTAATTCAGAACCACAGAAGTTGATAAGAGACAGGCCAATCAAAATTGACTTTGTGGGAGACAGAGTCCTAAAATGCTTAGTTTATTGGCACTGCTCTTCTGTTGCTTGTGAAATTGGTTATGTCAGTAGCATTCGGTCTTTGGCTACTCTCTGGCCAGAAAATGTAATCGAGGAAAGAAACAAAGAGCACAGAGCTTTGAGAGGATGAGAAACAGATGAGGTAAGAGTCACAGTAGACTCTTGTCAGTGGAGTTCACAGGGTACAGATGCTTCCTTGTTTTTTAAAAAGGGATAAAATATTAGCCCCAGATCCTACCGGCTTTTAGATATTTTACTAAATTAGTGTGTTTGAAGTGGCTGAAGTGCATCGTCGGTGATTCTGAAGTGCAGTCTGAAGAGGTCTGCAAGAAGAGTGAGTCACTCAAAGAAGCTTGACCTCATGAACAAGACTCTTCCTCTCGAACCGAGAGTTATTTCTCAGATGAAGTCAAGCACTCGCCACACCACAGCCTTCAGTTTTTAATCCGGCCAAAGGTGAGTCTTGGAAAAAGAGAGTTTGGGAATGACAGTTGGGCAGCACCAAAATTAGACAGAGAGGCACTAGTGGTTTTGAAAGGATGTTAAAGGCTCATACAGTAGAAGCCCTGAAATATTGCTATCTGTTGGACTTTAAGGGCGCCGGCAAAATGTGATTTCGAAAGTGGTCTGTCAGTGGTTTGAGGAGGTGCAATTGTTGTGGTCACTGTGATTGTGACTCAGTCCCCTGAATGATAGCTTGTCATTTCTGAGAGGTCTGTTAAATGAACTTGTGCGGCACATACTGTCAAACCACCAAACCAGAGCTTTCACCCCCACTACCCTGAAGCACTGGGCGCAGGATACAGTTGATTTGTCCCCCTCTGACTGACCATGTATGTGCTGTGAACCTTTCAGTATCAAAATCAACCAGACCGCCCTCTCTGTCACACGTCAGCCAACATTCTCTGTGGGCTGTGTACCATTACCAAAGAGAATCCGTGCGAGATTTTAATGTGAGCACTTAAAAATTGTTCACTCCCCCCTGCCCGCCCAATTTGACAAAATCCCTGTCTTTAACGACGTCTAAGACGTCATAGCAAATTTGTCTCAACCCTGAGGCACAGCAAGCTGAGGGAACCGAGGCCAGATTGAACCAGCTGCTGTGGCTGCTCAGCCCCATAGCTTGGCACAGCCAGGGTTTTGGATACGAGTCAGGCTTCGGATTCAGAATGAAATTCGTTGGACTACAGGCAGCAGGGGGAATGAAAAAAGGACAAGTGGAGAAAGAAAAAATATGGATTCCTTTTCCCTCCACAGAAAGATTAGATGATCACTTTATTGGCCATATACAATTTCTCGCATAAGGAATTTGTCTTTTCGCAGACCCCAGCTAGCTCTCCATGAGACACACAGGTACACAGATGGGGAGAGAGAAGCTGGGGGTCAGAGCAGGGCGCCGTAGAAATGGCTGACCCTGAAATGTCATTTGGCAACGATGATAAGGTAGGCTATTTGAGAGCTAATTTTTCCTTTAAAGCCCTTGAAAAAGGATTTTGATCTCCTTCATCTACTGCCATTTGCTCCTTCCTGTTGCCAGAGCTCTGGGGGTTCATCGGTGCAGTGGCTCACTGACTAG